CCCGCCCCCCGAGGGCCCCCGCGGGGCCCGCGCCTGGCCGCGGGCCTGTGCTGGTCGCGGACGGCGTCGGGGCCCGGCCAGCCCGTCGTCTGGACGCGGGGAAGGATTGCAAAAAACCGAAGGATTGCAAAAAAAAACCTCCGAAGGATTGCAAACAAAAACCCTCGTTCGAGGGTTTTTTTTTTTTGCAATCCTTCGTTCGAAGGGTTTTTGTTTGCAATCCTGGGTTTTTTTGCAGTCCTTCGTGCGAGTCCAGGGCGCTGAAATATAGGGAACCGTTGGGGTTCGGAAGGGGCTCGGTGTGCCCCAGGTTCCTCCCTTGCTGCCCCTCTCGCCCTCCCTCGGGCACGGAGGCGCTCCTGAGGGCCAAAGAGGGGCGTCGTTCCTCAGTTGGCGTTCCTTCTCTCAGCGGCCCGACGGAACGCGTCTGAGACGCTCCCATCGTGGATTGGCCGTGGACATCACTGCCGACCTCATCCGATGAGGAATCCTTCAGGGTCTGTCTGAAGCCCCCTGGGCGCATTTCTGAACGAACGCCCCCACCGTATTGGAAGCGCACGCCCGACCAGAACATCTACTACAGCAGCAGTATACCAGATGAGTCCCCAAGCGGCACGGCCACGAGACGGCAACCACGGCGCTCATACTGTGAGGTGTGTCGGCGTCTGTGAATTCTGCGGATACGGCGCACACCTGGTATTATCGCGGAGACGTAAGACTCGGGTACAGGGGCTCGGGTTGGCCTGACGGGGGCCATCATAAAAATGGCGAGACCCAATCTGAAATTTGACGCGAGCTCCCGCTGCAGACATCCAACGAACACCGGCCCGTCAAAATCCAAGACGCGCTCGTCAAAAAAAACGTCGGCGAACCCAAGTTCCGGCTTTACTCGAGTCTTACGTCTCCCCGATATTAGACGTCTGTGTGTTGGCGATCTCGTGCTTCAGCACGCCGAGGACCAGGCGGGGCGTCGAGAAAGGCGCGCGGTGCTCCGGGCGTGGCTTTCCTTCTCGCGGAGGCGCTCCCGCGGGGGTCTCCCGCGAGCCAAGGGGGCCAGGGGCCCAGCGCTGCAGGCGGCGATGATCGGGCCAGCGCGGCCGGCAGAGCGAGAAGCACAGGGAGGGTTGGGTCGGGCGTGTCCTCCTGCAGGCGGTTTTTTGGGACGAAAAATTAAAGATAGCCGAAACACGTTCCCAGATCCTCAAAAATAGTCACAAAACATCGTCTCCTGATTATTTTTGGGCTATCTTCGGATATTCCTCCTGTGCAGGGACATGCCCGACTCAAAGGGAGGGGGGGGGAGCTGTCAGGAGGAGCGCGTCGGCGAAACAGGGCGGCTCGGCGGCGCGAGCAGGGGAGCGAGGCGCGGGGGGGCGAGATTCTGAGAGGGCAGGGGCCCTTCGGGAAGGGCGCCGCGCCTTCCTGGGAGCCACTGTGAATGGAATCCCAGAAGGCGGGGGGGCTTCTGAGAGGCGGGGTGCCCTCTTGGAAAGCCGCCCCGCTCGCCCTGCCTCCTGCTGCGCGCTGCCAAGATGAGCAGCTACAACAGAGACTGGCATTTGTGCTGCGCTGGGAGCAGGCTCGCTGCATGAAATTTAAATGGTGTCCGGGCTGCCTACTTTGGTTACGCCTGTCTAGCGGGAAGATTCGGCGTCGTGAAAACAGCTAATTATCAAACAATTCGGCCGTGAGCGGCCAACTTAGCGTGCCTGCCGAGACCCCAAGCAGTTGGTCATTGCACTCTCGATGTGCTTTCTACGTGCTGTATGTAGATACGTCTCTAAATTTGTATACATGTGTACCAAGGAAGGATAGAATAGGTGTTGTGCACTCTGTGGCAATCCATGGGCTTGAGACAATTTAAAATCGTCGCCCCTCAGCCACAACGCGTTAGCAACCTCAAGTGGCGCGGTGTTGCGAGGACGCTTCTCATGCAGATCTATGACTCGGGCGGACGAGCGTTGATGATCATGACGGCACAAGCGATTGCGACGACAACAACGGTGATGATGGTGATGATGACGACGATGGTGATTGTGTTGAAGATGATGGTGGCGATGGTGGCGGCGGCCATGAGTCATAGTTGTCGCATAATGTACGCGGTTTCGCGCGCACGGGGATGTGAAAACACGATGCTGGATACACAAAGACAGTTGTGTATAGTCTGCTTGAGCATGATTGAAAACTAATGGTCGTGGAAACATGTTGGCATGTGCGCGCGCGCTTGGCCTGCATGGTATGAACTGATTCGGGATCCCACAAGCTGCATGTGTTAGATCAACGCGTGCTCCCCGCATTGTGTTATTCAACCAAGGTAACGCGGGGTGTCGATACGGATTGCCTGCGCGTGGTGCCGTTTGCTATTGAATGCAACAGATGTGGTTCAGCATAGGTAGTGCAATTTGTTGAGGCCAGTGAACCTTGGACACATTGAAACCAACCCAACAGCTCGAACGCACATCCCACCCACCCAACCAGCCCCAAACTTTCGGGCTAAACTCAACTGGCGCATTGACGCGAAGACCCCTCCCATAAAGATCCTTGACTCGACCGGGCGGGTGGCAATGGCGACAACGACACCGACGACGACGACGACGATGCTGATGACGGTGGCGGTGATGACGAAAGCGACGGCAACAACGATGGGGATAGAGGATGACGACGGTGGGAATGGTTACGGTGATTGTGCTGGTATGGTGGTAACGGCTATGGTGATGACGACGGTAATGATGGCGCTGACGATGATGCTGGCGATTGTGCGTGTGAGGGTGATGAATAAGCGCGCGCAGAAACTCTGGCGAAGCCTCCATTCAACCCTAATTTGTCATGCCCGCGAAACCAATAAAACCGCAATGATTCCGACACGCGCGCGCGGGATCGCATACGCGTGGCCCACATGGTCTTGGTTGACAGAATTGGCGGGCGCGCGGTGGATGTTCAACGATTCGACATGCGCGCGTGTGTAGCCCGTGTGGTCCAAGTTGACACGTCAGCAGAGTACCAATGGCTTCCGTTTGGCCCGAGCGATGCACAAACAAAATATGAGCCAGTGCTCCGCGTTATACTATCCAACGGGGATGTGAGAGGGGCAACAAAAGGCCCCAGCTGGGATGCGATTGTCTCAGATTTCGGGTGCACCATGTATGGAGAGCCAATACGCGGAGGGGCGCGGTGTAAATGTCGACCCTGGTACTCCATCGAAGAGATCGCATGCCTGGTGCAACCTGAGGCGTGCCACATAACTTTCGCCACCTCATGGGTTGTCAACTCCACCGCTCGCACAAACATCCCACCCTCCCACCCACGACCTGTTTTGCAAAACCGATGCGGCCGCAACTGCGATGACTGCTTGGCCCTGGCTTGCGCATCCCTGCGGCCTCGCTGGCACGCGCGAGCTCGCGCGCAGAGCAGCCAACTGACGCGCGGGCTCTTCATTGCGGGTCGGTGACTCGGGCGGGCGCGGTGTCATGATGACGTCGGCAACGGTGCCGAAGATGATGATAGCAGCGATGGCGGTGGCGATGGTGACGATGACGACGGCGAGGCCAATCATGGCGCCGATGATGACGATGATGATGTCCAGGTGTCGGCGATGAAGGTACTTGATCGATCATCGCATCAATGGTGACTTCTGGATGACGATGCTGTGAGGCGACGGCGCTGATGAAAGTGATCATGAGGGAGTGCGCGCGGGCAAAACTTCAATAAACCTGGAAAAGCTGATGTTGATCAACATGCATCTGCTGCACACGATGCTGAAGAGCCAGATCTTGAAGTGCTTCGCCAACCAAAATGCTTCCGCAGGGACTTCGACACGCGCGCGCGCGGCAGCGCGCGCGTGTGGCCCACACTGTGTTAGGTGGTACGGATTCGCGCACTGCGCGCATGCTAGATAAACGTGGATGTACCGCGAAGCGAGACGACAGCGTGGTGTCCGAGTCTGGACGGAACTCAAAGCAATAGTTTGGTGTTCCTATGATTTCATCAAGTGCGCGCGTGCAGAAGCTCTGCAGGGCTTGTGAATTAAAAACCTAAGGGTGTTTTGCGCCTTCGTGTTGAAGAAATGACAAGACTGATGCGTGTGGTATGATTTCGATATGTACGCGCGCGTGGATGTGGTGCACTCTTGTTGCAAGGGGTTCTTGAACAATTGAAATGCACGAGTGCGGACGCATAGAAGTATTTGACAGGGACGAGGGGGGGAGACACCTGGCTGGGTGGAATGCTAGAAACTCACACGAACATTCATCAACGATGAGGTAGAATCATCTGCACTTCGGTGGGGGTCTTAAAACTTTTGGGGGGGAGACTGTGGTAGGGTCTTCTCTCGCTTTCAAGGAGAAGACCAATGCGGCGGAGTGTCACCCAGCCAGCGCACGAGGCGCCCCCCAGCCGTCCACAGGCAGGCACCCCGGGCGACAATGCCAGCACCTAGCCGGCGCACGAGGGGCCCACACGGTGCCCACAGGCGAGGACCGGGCGGGAACCCAAAGACCCAGCTCGTGGGCACGTCGCGGGGGCTCCCCGGCCACCACCGTGTCAAGGTTGAGCTATAATTGCTGTCAGTGCCGCGCTCTCCTGGGGCTTCGCTGTGTTCCTGCTCGATGCCATGTGTCACGCGTGTGGAGCTGAACTGTCAATGCCGCGCTTTCCTGTGGCTTTGCTGTGTTCCTGCTCGCACCGCGCACCACCAGAGGCGGCGGAGAGCTTGAGACATCCACCCGCCAGGAGGGCGGAAACCCGAGGACCCAGCCAGCGCACGGGGCGCCCACGAGGCGCCCGCCGGGCGGGAAAACCCAGGAGGTCCACCTCAGAGCAGTTAAGCGCCCAGCACGAGGCGCCCAGGCGGTAACCCCATGGGGATGGGCGAGGAGGGCCTGCTTCGAGAGGAGCGATCTCGACGGATGCTGGGGCGCCTCAGGTCGAGCTTGGGGGCCTCAGTGCGGGCTGGGGGGGCCTCAGGTCTGGCGAAGCCAACCTTGTCCAACGAACCCTTCTGGCAGCCTCCGAACCCTCAGTGCAAGCGCTGTTTGGGGAATGGCTGGCACTGCCCTACTGAAAGGCTGGTTATAGCCGTTCCGGCATGTGATGACATTCTGGCCAAGCAAACTGGAGACATTTGAGCACCGCCTCGACAGCCAGGATCGCTAAATGTCGAATTTGCTCGCCCTCGCGAGCGCGTGCACTGATACAGCAGTGCCCCTGCACGTCTAAAGCCACGCGGTGGCGACCTTCATTGCAGCGTCACTTGAATTACGAATCCAGCTGCAGGACGATGGCCTGGTCAGTGTCTATCGAATGTACACATTGCTGACGCCGGATCCCGTGGACCGGCTGTGATTAACCAGAAAAGACCCCTAACCCTTGTGGATGGAACATAAGTTAGGAGGGCCAGGAACATTAGGGACAGGGGCTCTATTCTGCAGATGTGTCGAACCAAACCGCCCAGATGTATTGTCCCTTATGCGAAGACGGGGACCTCAGTGAGGCTACGTCTTCATCGTGTTCTTAGGGTTAGGGGTTCTTCTATCCTCAATGAGGCTGGGTCAGTGCGCTCGCTTCGCGTTGCGCACGCCCGCTAAGCATCACCCAAGATCTCCAGGGTCTTCTGGAGCGGGGCTCCTCCAGGCAGCTTGGAAACCTTACGGACTCCTGACATCGACGTCTTGGGAGAGTTTCATATAAGGCTGTCAGAAGAGCAAGCCACATCTCGGCCCCTCCGCTCCCGTTCGCGTAGCTGTCGTCGTCGAGAGCAGCGGCGAGTCCTTCCTGCATGGGCGGCCGAAACCACGATGGAGTCGGCGGAATGTCGTCCTCCGCTTGCTGTCCCCTCATATCCAGCGTTGCGAAAAAGTTGCGGATCGATATGTAGAGGCCACAGGGCAAGAAACCAGACGAAAACGTCCAGGGTGGACACATTCGATGGCCCGGAGCTCGGGGTCTCAATCACCAGCCCTCCTCCAGCGGGGCGCATGGGAAGCGCGAGAATACACACTGAGGTATCTGGGCTCTGCCCCATGGGGCTTCGCCGAAACGCCAGAGGACAACGTAGAGTGTACAATTTCCCGGCCGATTCTCCAGTCGACAGGAGTTGAAGAAAAGCGTGCACCGTGTTCGGGAACATCCTTCAAGAACATGAGATCATCCGCCAACAACAATGTCCCAGACCATCAGATCACTTGATGGTGCCCTCCTCCAGGATGCACAAGAACATCCAACAGATACGAAGGACAGTAGGGTACCCTCTTCGAGCCGACCTCGATCATAGACCTCAGGCCGACCGTAACACTATGGGCCTTGGGGGAACCAAAAGGTACCGATACCGCTACTCTCCGTACCTCTCCCGGGGTGCCTTCAGACCAGAACTTCCAAGCGAATCCAGCGGTGGCGACGAGGGCCTCCCAGGAGGCCCAAAAAAGCGAAAACGAGGGAAGGGTGGTGCTCTGTTCCTGGCGCCGAGGCGAGTCCGACGACGCCGTGTGGCTTTAGCCGCCCGGGGGTCCACGAATTCGGCCCTGCAGGGCGCCGTCCAAGGGATGGCCGGCGCACGGCGGCTCCCCCTTGACGGGGGAGCACTTCAGCGGCCATCGCCCAGGTCGGCCCACCTCGGGGCGGCGACGGACAAAGGCAACCCGTGCAAGGACGCACGACAAGGATGCAAGGGGCCCGTGTACATTACCCCCCAGTGGCTCAGGCTCCCCATTGGAATGCCCAACTGCGATGCCTGCTACATCGCGGTGGCCACCGGGATCTGAAGATAAACACGCCTACCGCTAAGAAGGACGCACGATAAATGATGCAATCGCCTTGGAAGGCCATGTCGACACTTTGCGAGCGGGGCGTGGCCAGCGAAAGCGGCCAAGGATGGGCCGAAGGGAAAGGATTCAAGAGTGACCTTGGAAAGTCGCTCATCCTTCCTATGCGGGTTGACTGTAGAGAGGGGTGGCGTGGGAGGGGGAAAAGCAACACTGACAGGGCCCAGGGACACCGGGACACCCAGAGAAACAGACGCACAAATCCCAGGATGCCACAGAATGCTCCATGTTTTCTGGAGGCTCGTCGTCCCCTCCACTTCCATGATATTGTCCTGGGAGGTCCACGCTGAGTTGTGTTTGTGTCGATGTTTCCCCCCTGAAAATATAGGGAGAAGGAATGGGGACGGGCATGACATTCAAGCGCTGCAGGTATAGGTGCGGGATGTCGGGCCCCGATGGGGGTATCCGTTTGAGCGGGGACCCCCCCGTCTGACAGCACACACCCATTATTAGCCCCCACGGAGGTTTACCCCGCGGGAAATCTACGTGGGGCATGGGTGCTAGTCTGCTAGCTGTCAGCTCATGGCGGAAGGGGGAGTCAAGGAGACCACTACTGGCATGCCTGCGAGAAGATCCAACAAAACTATGAAGCCCGATTCGGGAGTCACTACGCCTGGGACCTCTGGGTTTCTGAATAAGCGTGGGGGGGTACCCCCCCGACGGGGGTCAACCTCGCCTCGTCGTCGCGCCGCGACGGGGGGTCGGAGCGCCTTCGGCGCGCGGTGGCTGCCCGCGACGGGGGTCGATGTGGGGCTGACGGCGGGGGTGGCGCCCTCCCGACGCTTATCAATCAACTCGGAGTAGCCTAGGATAGGCGCAAGACTAAGCCGAACTGAGCCAGGTTACACCGGACGAAGTGGAACTAAACTGGATTATGCCATAATTGGCCTAATTTCGGCCATGGATCTACCAGCGCCGCTGCTGATTTTAACCTTCCAGGAACTGCATCCTAAGAGGTAGGAGGGCGGGAGGGAAGGAGGGAAGACGACACTGAGGAACAGAAGAAAGTGAGGCAGGGCGGGGTGGGGGAGGGGGCAGATCAGGTGCATCGAGTTTCACTCTGCGGGGTCCCAGGAAGCTCCGACCCTTTCTCCAGGGCTGCATTTCCATCCCTGGCCAGAGCTTGACAAACACTCCGCCATGTGTTCTGTCAGTATGTTGGGAATGCCTTGGGGAGGATCCTCCCCATGAGACCTCCAACATGCCGACAACACATCGGATCTCAGGGTCCGCTCCCTCCTTGGGACGGGAGCGGACCCTCAGATCCGAACATGCGGCAACACTGCAAAATTGCAGACAAACAACATTGAAGCCGTCAGCCCGAGAGCTGTGAATGCCTTGACACTGGACACCCTAACAATCCGATCGTTAAATGAAACACGTGCTGGAAATGTAGGAACAATATATATATATATATATATATATATAGCATTGCACTCCGCTCTTTTTCATCCAGGCCAGCAGCGATATGTCGTGGCGACAGACCTTCGCCCTGAGAAGGCTGGAGCAAGCGACTCCTAAAACACAACCCTCTGGACCGGTCTCAGAGATACTAAACTCCAGAAAAAAGTTACAGGGGATCATAGGCGGGGCGGGCGGGCTCTGGGAGCCTTGAGCCCAAACGGGTAAGGACATGGAGAACAAGGGTCATCCTCACGGATTCAACGGCCATCCTGATCGACCTCTGCCCAAAGCTAGAACGATACCAAGGTGATCTACCAAGCATTGCACTCCGCTCTTTTTCATCCAGGCCAGCAGCGATATGTCGTGGCGACAGACCTTCGCCCTGAGAAGGCTGGAGCAAGCGACTCATAAAACACAACCCTCTGGACCGGTCTCAGAGATACTAAACTCCCGATTTGCCGTAGTTACAACTGGAGGCATCGGATTAAAGGTCACAGTAGGCATATATTTCAATTGCAGCCAGGGCGTCTTTAAAGCTATGTGCTAGAGCGTTACACAAGGCACGAGGGTAGGGCTCGGCAACTAAAGTTCGGAAAATACCATTAGACTTTCCGGACAACTCAACGTGGGGCTTATTACTGTAGCTACAAATGCCGCGGCCAGTGCAGAGACGAGAGCATCTGGACAAATCTACGTGCGCACTCACGATTCTGGTTCGTTTGCGCCACGGCTTATTGAAACCGCACAAATCGGTTCGGATGCTATGCACGGGGCTGAGGCGGCAGGCGGAAGCCATCGGTGGGCACAACCATATCCTGCTGGTCGAGGGATTCTCCAACGCACATGGTATGATGAGACGAGCACAGAGCCTCAAGACGGACGCCGAGAAAGTCATGAGCACGTTCCCGATTCGAACTTTTTCACGGTCCACGGCCGAGAGATCTGGGAGCCCCAGAGGTTCAGAATCGCTTCTTAGACGGGGCGGCCCGCCACCCCGATCGCGGGCACGAGAAAAGCTCGAACATGGAGTCCCCATCCAGACTGCAATAACCTGTGACGCCAGCAACCATCCTCGCACACGTTTTTGCACCTTCGGTAACGTTAAATCATACTGCTCACCATGGCGAATGTCAAATTCAATGATAGGCAACCCCGCATGCCGTCTCCCAGCAGCTGAGAAATTTCCAGTCCCTGAAAACAGCTCAATAGCGAACCGCACCTGAATGTGATTGGCCCTCAAGAACGGCAGGACCTGCTCATGATGGCGCCAATCTCGGCGGCGTACTTTTCCGTTGCGAGCTGAGCGCCGTGCGGCAGGAAGTGCAGCTGGTCCATCAGGCGGCCTGCCTTCTGGTAGCGACGCATCGAGCTCGGCTGGGCCCACCCGCCGCGGTGCTGCACGCCCAGCGGGCTCTGACGGCCGAGGCTGATGACGAGGCTTGCGCCCGCATGTCGGAGCCCGCACAGCGTCGGTGGCCCCAAGTCCTGGAGGCCCAGCGCCAGCCCGCCCTTCCTGTACTGCTTGTCTGGCGCCACAGGGCCTCCAGCAGCGGAACCACGAAGTCGTGGTCTGGCAGGTCCAGCGGCCGCGAGTCGTCCCACTTGTTGACCTTCGACGGCTGCCCGAGCTCCATTGGGTGGAGGATCACCGTCCACCTTGAGTGGTCCTTGGCTTTGCCTGGCAGCGGCGGCACCAGCTAGCAGCGGCGCAGACTGAGGGCCTCGCTCGGCCTCAGGTAGAACACCACGTACATCAGTACCGCCACCGCCATGGACCATCGGTCGCTGCGGACCAGCCAGTCGCACAACAGGCAGACCACCAGGCGCGAGCCCAGGCTGGAGTGCGCCCCCTCGAACCACTGGTAGTCGAAGAAGTCCCCGAGCGCGTCGTCGACCTGCTTCTCCGACTGGAGAAGGAGGAGGCGGAACCGTGCCCAGTCCTCGAAGCTCTCCCAGCTCTCCAGGTACAGCTGCTGGGTGCGCGACCGGACGCTGGCCGCCTGGAGGTAACTCAGCCTCGCCAGCTCCGGAGCCCTCGTAGCAGCCGAGCCCCGGCAGGCAACCGCGCGAGCAGCGGCACGTCGGGCCTGCGGCTGCGATCGGCGTTGCGCCGGCGCCAGCGGCCCGACCCCCTCCAGCGTGTGGTCACTCGGCAGGGCCGCGACGGGCGTCGATCCCCTCATGCCCCGAAGAGCCGGGTCTCGCGCTCGCGGCCTGCCAGTGCGGCCCGACGCCTTCCGAGGCAGCTAGGGCAGCGGCTGCGCTGCCGCCCCGTGGACCCTGGCCGAGGTCGGGGCATGCGGCAGCGCTGCCAGCTCCACGCCTGGCGACGGCGGCCGGCGGCAGCAGCCCCCTCCGCGAGGGAGCATCAGCAGGGTTCTCCTCGCTCGAGATCCACCTCAGGTAGACGGAACATCCCGACACAAGCGCCAGGGCAGCCCAGCGCCGGACAACTCGGAGCATCCCCGGCGCGGACGTTCGGCCCTTGCTCAGAGCCAGAACAGCCGACATCGAGTCGCTGAGGATGAGAACACGCTTATGCCATGTCTGGCTGTTCCGCAGCATGCGTCGAAGTCCCCATAGGGCAGCTCTGGTCTCCAGAACAGGAATACTCTCAGGACGATCCCAAGCTTGCGACCTCACTGTCCTCCAAGGACCTCCGACAAGGGATCGAGGCACGAGGTCGACACCCCGCTCCAGCCGGGCGCAGACGTCCGCGCCCTCCGGCACGTTAGCGTTCTCTGCCTTCTCCCCCGTCACCTTCGCCTCCTCGATCCGCTCCCGGGCCTGTTCACGGGCCCCCTCTCCACCCTCCTTGAACCTCCAGGCCTCTGAAAAGCTCATGGCGTGCTTCACGTCGGCCTCCAGGCCCGCGGTCTCCGTCACCCCAAGACCCCACTCAGAAGCGTCAGTGGCCAGGACACGCGTGTAGATGGGGGCGCGCAGGTCCCGGGAGCAAAAGCAGATAAGACACGAGGCCCACAGCAACTCACGTCGAACCACATCCCAGACTCCAACGCTCTCCCCACGATGGCGCCCGATGAAGGCACACACCCCGCTGAACACCGACAGGAGCTCCCGATGAAGAAGAAACAGATGAGCGCAGTGGCCCACAAGAACCTCGACCTGCTTCCCGCTCAGGTAGCGCAGACGCGAAGCGTGTTGAAGTGCAAGACGAAGACGCCACACCCTTCTCTCTTTTCCGATCACCAGGGGGCGGTCACTCGAGAACATCCAGCCGAGAGCTTCGCCTCCTGGCCCTGCCTCAACAGGATGAGCTCGCAGACCTACACGCTCGAGCTCGGTCGCAATTCCTTCGGCCGCTGACCGGGCCTTTCCTGCAGACTGAGAGAAGGCCACGAAGTTGTCAACATACGCTGCGTGTG